GGGGCATGCGCCCGGCTGTTTCCTGGCTCCTTGGTCCTTGATTAGCACCGTTGGCTGGGCCCCCTCCAGGCAGGAGAAGGAACCTGGCACACTCAACCTGCATCAGTGGGTTGTCTTGACTTTTTTCCCTAAGAAAATAAGAAATAACAAATGTCTGAAGTGTCATTAGACTGTATCGTCCGAGCCTGATCCATTCCACCTGGATGCAGGAATGAGCAGCGGGCGGGCTGCCTGCCACTCAGGCATTGGTGGCAGCGTAAGGAAGGCGTCCCATGGGGAGGACGGAGCGCTGTTCTCACACCCCGAACCAAACCCCCACCTTCTAACCTGTCTCCTTGTGTCACTGCCACCCTCGGACGTGACAAATTCCCTTCATTCTTTTTCTTCCTCCTTCCCTTGAACGTAGTGTGGACGAGTCTCTCCTCCCACATGGTTTGATGGCTCATATTCAGTCAAAGCCCCCTCACAGTCTGCATTTTATTTGCCTTCTCATGGGCTCTGCCCTGTGACTGAGCTCCCGGCCTTGTTCATTTCCTGTGTCGATCCCGGAGCTCTCGGTCTTCTGGTCCTTTTTGGATCCTTCGGCAATAAATGAATGATTCTAAAAGTCACGTATGTAATGTTGACGAGGCAGTCAGTGCGAAAACGTATGTTTCAGCGCGCGAGAACTCATGGAGCTGAAAGAGACTTCAGGGGATACCCACCCCAGACACACGCTGCTTTTTAGAGGCTCAGAACAGTTCAGAGACTTGTTCAGGGCCGCATGGCCACTCGGTGGCATTGCCAGGGCCAGTGTGGGATGCCAGGCTCCCCTCCTGCCTCCCTCCCATGTGCAGCTGCCAAGGACCCCCTTCTGGTGCAGAGACCACCCGGCGTCTGCAAGGGGACCAGTGCTTCCCAGACTGTGTTATCTTAGAAGCCATCGTCTCATGAGCAAAAGGAAGCCCCAGTTATTCCTGAAATTTGATGAGTTATTTATTAAAAATTGTAGCAAGGGGAACGTTGAGCAAGAAGTACAATTTGCCAGGGCCCAGTCCTCATCACGGCCTCCAGGTAAACATTTCAAGACCAAACTGTCATCTTACCACAGATGACAACAAGGACGCTGGTAATAGAAAAAGCTCTCCATGGCCGGACGCTGAGCGGGTCCCGCTTATGGAGGAGAGTACCGGCAGATGGTCTCTGTTTCTCATGAAATCCCCAAAATCAGTATACACAGCTATTATCTTTCCTCATTTTACAGATAAAGAAATGGACACTCAAAGCACTTGAGTACCTTGCCCCGGGACATGAGCTAGGAAGGGATGAGATGGTTTTGAACCCAGTTCGCTCTCTCTCCATCACCGCGCTGCTCCATGCCCCTGACCTGGCGCTAATATCTCAGGCTGCATCACTGGAAGCCTCGTTTCCACAACAAAGTCACTGTGTCATCCATCCAGCTGATACTGACAGAGGGCCTCCCAAATCAACCTGTGCCCTTGGCTGGGCTGTGAGCGCGCCCAGCCAGGGAGCCCCGCCCGTGCCCTCCCAGACAGGACTCCTGGCCTCAGCCTTGCCCTGGGGGTTCTGCACTTGGCATTTTTTAATGCCTCTTCTCCAATCTGTAACTGACCAGTCATTTCCTAGTCTTTACTGTTCTTCACACACCAGCTTAAGGAATGAAAAATCCTTCCTGCCAAACTGATATAGAATATAGAGGGGGGAAAACGTCTTTGAAAGAGAAGAGTGGTGATCATTTACCCACAAACAATGTCTGTCAGTGGATGAGAGCATATTCCCGGGCCTTTAAAGATACGTATTAGTGATTTACAGGAACGATGCGAGCGGAGAGGCTGGCTGTTTTCAGAATTCAGAGCTCAGCCTGTGGCCTTCCACCAGACGATGCTCAAAACTGGCCTCTCTGGGAATTCACATCAAACTCTGGCTCATAATTTATGTAACGACATATACTTGGACACTGATTAGCTACCTATCAGCTCTGTAATAAAGGCGGCATAACCCCTAGTTTATCATTCATTTATCTGAAGTCATTTTGAATAATATCACAAGATTGTAATGTAATCATTATGCTGTACAGCAGTCCTGGGCCTGCACGCCGGGCGGCAAGGTCAGAGCCCTGGCAGGGTTCACGCCACTTAATTTACTCACTTCTTACACATTTATAAAATTGGAGTCAACAGCATGGTATCGAAGTTGGACCCGCGAGCAGGCGCTTACACAAATTGATAATCAGATGTTCAACAGGAAGTGGAGGGAGACTTAATACCAGTCATAACGATCTTCTCTGAGAGCCCGGCTTGCACTTGAGTTTGAAACAAGCCATTCAGTGCTCAATGACTAGCACCGATTTCCTTTGACTCTGCACGACCTGGAGGGTTTATCGACAACCACTCTGCTGCTGTGAAGCGCTCTGCTAGGAGCCTGTGTCTCCGGGCCACGGGGAGGGTGACGGCAGGAGGGCCGGTTCCTCCTGAGAAGGGTGCGGGGGAGGCTGCGGAGCACGGCCACAGCAGGGAGAGGAGGAAGTCAGAGAGCCGGGAATACGGGGAATCAGCTCAGAGGGGTTGAGCTGAGCTGGGGGAGGCACTCTGCACAAACCCAGTGAGGGGAACAGGAGTGGGTGTGGAATCAAAGAGTCAGGGCTTCTGTTCAAGGGTGGCTGTTGTCATTCATCTGCGATCGCCTTCCAGTCAGTCCACACCTGCACCCAGAGGCATCAGCTAAATGTTAGGCCACATACAAGTTCAGGTGGCCGCTCCCCTGTGACGTGGCCCACAGCTCGTCCTCCATGGGGCCTGGCTGGGGAGACACTGCGATGTGGAATTAGAGAACCTGGTGTCTGAACCAGCATCGGAAGACATGGCCACAATGTCTCTGGCCCACTGTGGGCAGGTGTGTCCACAGAGACAAAGGACTGACACGGGCCCCTCTGCAATGGGCCCCAGCCCAGGGCCTGGAAATTGCAGTGAGGGGGGAGAAAGGCCAGTTTGAAAATAAACCCAGTGAAGCCACGTGACACTAACAAAAAAATCTGCAACAGGGAGTTTCCAAAGAACATCTCCATGTACATAGCACACAACACAGAAAAAAGCAATCCAGTGTTCCAGCCAAGTCAGAGGTCAGAACGGCAGGTTACAGCCCAGCACGTGCTTGCTGGTTTCCATCCAGCGCCCCTGACTCCTGTGCAGGCGTGTTGGGCCAGCCCAGCAGGTGGCTCCACACACCTCGGTGGCACCTACAAAACACGACCGTCCAACAAAGACCAGTCCTGGGGCTCCTTGCGATGCCCCCAACCAGAGGCATTTCAGTCACTGCCCAGAGAGGAGAGGGATCTGGAAAGACCTGGAAGGCCCCAGGCAGCTGCAGCAGAGGCAGCAAGGGGCTCAGCAGAAGGTGACAGGTCACAGCAGTCCCCCCCCCAGCTCTGGAAGGAGAGGCAGGTGGCACTGTGGGCAGGAGCACGAGGTGCCAGCCGGACTGGGCCACTTCCTGGAGCTGACCGTGGTCCTGAATGGCTTGTTTCAGGTTGGCACCTGGGGATGACACCAGCAGGTACCGCGTGGGCTTCCCGTGGGAGATGGGGCGTATAATACTCTTACCAGAGGGCTGGGCTCCAGTAAGACCTCAGAAATGCTTCCGTATTAATAACGGTTACTGGAGATGCAGCTACTTTGAGCTCTAGCGAGCGAAGCACCTTCTGGTTATGTTTCCTCACGTCCGTTTTCTGAGCATGGGATTTTGAACTAAATGCACAGGTCTGTGTGTGCGTATGTGTGTACAGACATGTGCATATACACACACATACACAGGCTTACATGTATACGTGTGTGTGCACGTGTGTGTGGTTATATGCATACATAAACATATACAAACATTTTCCTGGGGGGAGACTCCCAAGAGTGTGTCAAACCCACAACAGGTCTGCTAAGCACGGGAGGAGGAGACAGCCCTGCGCTGTTAGTGACAGCGCAGCACGTGGGCATGCTGGTTTCCTCAAACATGAGCTAATCATCCTATTCCATCTCGCCCCACCACTCAGTCTAAGCCGAGTAATTTCCTAGAAAGTCAGCTTTGTCAGCAGAGAAATGTTGCGGCAGAACCACGGGGAGGAGGGGGAGCGGTTTGCTCTTCGCAGATGCGGGATGAGGCAGGCCTCCCCGACGGGCTGGAATTTGATGTACGCCATCTTGAAGCAATGGCAGCTTTAGGACGGCTTTGTCCCCAAGGCGAATGCTATCCAGGAAAATCCACGAGAAGCTCTGCCTGAGGTGACAGTGAGCCAGAGAGTGGCCGGCTCCGTTCACGGGAGCTGGACCCGGGGCGACGCAGGGACGCCGGTGGCCTCCCAGGTGAAATTCGCGGGCCGAGGGGTGTGTGAACACGGTAGTCCACACGGGAAACAGTCACTCAGGTCTGAAGAAATCGGAGTCGTGGATAACATGATCAGACCTTCCCTTCTCATCACTGCAGAGAAACGTTAAAACAAGCACGCACGTCGCCCACAAGTGCTGACCGTCCGCCTCTCCTGCAGCACAGAACCACCCCCCCCGCCTCTGCAGCGGGGGCGCCGCGCCGCAGGGGACCAGTGCCGCCAGCGGGTCCTGCCCAAAGAGCTAAACTTTCTACAGGATTCCCCGTCTTTAAGGTCACCAAAGCATGAAACAAAATATAATCATTCGTCTTTAATTCTGTTTCCAAGATAATGAAATGACTCAAGGACCAATGAAATATCAAATACAATTCTATCCCAAACCTCAATAAAATGGGAGGGAAGCCTGGCCCTTAATTTTATTGGGAAAATTAAAAGATTGAAGCTACGTAAGACACGTGTAAAAACAATGATCATAATGAAGAACTGTCTGATCAGAGGTCAAAATATTCTCCAGAGATACAGTCAATGAAATGTGGTGATATTGTCCCTGGAGAATCAAACACATAAGTGGACAAGAGTTCAGAAACAGGCATGAGCCATGTGCTCATTTGTACGGTGTTATAAAGTGGTAATGCAAATCAGCAGGAAAAATACTTCAATGACTGCTACTGGGAAAATTGGCTATTTATTCGAACAAGAAACATTTAGATACATTCTTTATACAATTTGTCAAATTTAACTTCCAATGTTTAAAAGATTTAAATATTTAAAAATATAAAAATGATCAAACAGGTATTTGTGTCTTATGGGGATAAGAAAGGCTTTTGTAAATGCAGAAACCAGGAAGACAAAGGTTGGCAGAATTAATAGACAAAGAGATTAGGAGCCAGCCTATGTAAAGAAGACCTACAAATCAATAAGAAAAAGACAAATAATTCAATAGACAAATGCACAAAACACAGGCTTTCACAAATGAGAAAAATCAGGAAAACCAATTAAACATCATAAAAACTGTTCCTTCACATTAATACTGAAGGAAATAAAGATTAAAACCAAAATGAGAATGTACACCCTCCAGAATGGCAAAAATCTAAAAGTCTGAGAACATCAAATATCGGCAGAGATTTAGAAAGTGGGACATCCCATACTCCCAGGTGCAAGTACAGCTGACACAGCCCCTCGGAGAAGCAAAGCTCTCAGTACCTGAGAGACCCAAGAATGCACATTTCCTACAACCCAGAAACTTCATACGCAGGAACATGCCTGGAGAAACCCATAAAGACAGCAGCGAAAGTTTATCACGTTATTTGCATTAGTTACAATTAGGAAAAACCCAAACATTCATTAATGCATATGTTTTAAAAATAAATTATGTATATTTATGTACCAACATGGATTCATCTTGACATGATGCTGAATTTAAATAACAATTTACCAAATAAAATTACGACATGATTTATGAATTTTCAAGTGCACAGAAAACAATAGCAGATACCTTTTATAATTATCTGCTTTTCCAAGCAAAATGTTCATTATGACCTCATAGGATTGTACAAAATCCACCATAGGAATTGTACATGTGGAGGGAGGTGAACCAGCCTGGGTATTGGGTGACAAGGGGATCAATACCATCTTTTGTTTATATTTCATGTAAAAAATTTTAAAACTTGAAGCAAATATTTTGTTTTACCCTTGTTAAACTGAATAAATTCACACGTCTTGTTTTTTTTTTTAAGACTACTAAATTTGGTTACGTAGAAAAGTAAAACTTCGACACAAGGGGAAAAAAACCCATGAACAAGTAAAACTGACCAATCACAAGTGAGGAAAGCATCTTTGCAACATATATTAAAGAGAGTAATGTTAATATGTAAACGTTATCCTCAGACAGGTAAGAAAAAGAAGGAACTTGCACTAGAAAACTGGGCATAAGGAAGAGTAACACGGAGGCTACATTTGTTGGCTCTACAGAAGCCCCACCTCCACCAGCACCACAGGCGAGCAGCGGGCGTCAGTTCGGGCCGGGGGCTGAGCACAGCCCACTGGGCTCTGCCCATTGTCTCAGATCAAAACTTAGGGGGTTTCTGTTAACCAGAACACACTGCAAAGAGGACACACAGAGAAAGGTAAGACCATCTAGTCCCCTTCACTGAAAACTGGAGGGGGGAGGGGGACAGGGGAGGGGGACAGGTGTGGAGGGGAGCTCGTGTCTCAGGGCACACAAGGAAAATGAGTTTATGTGCATCTCAGTCAGGACCCTTAATCCAATCCAATTCTAACTGGTTTAGAAGAAGAGAATATTCTTGGCTCACGTGCCTAAGAGATCAGAGTTGGGCAGGTTCCCAGGTAAGCTTCATCCAGGGGTCTGGCTCCATCCTCTTGTCATTCTCCCAGTCCTGCCCCTCTATTAATCCTCTTTGACTGTCTGTTTTCCCTCGTGGCAGCAAAATGGCTGCAAAGGATCCAGGCCTCTCATCTTCACTGTGTGTTGCCCATGGCCCAGAATTCCCAGCAAATATTTTGAGAGTCACCCTGAGACTGCTTAGGTCACCTTTCTGTCTCTAAACCAACAACTGTGGCCCCCAGGATGGATGAATTGACAGCTCAGGTGACGTCTCCTATTCCACACCTGAAGCCAGGGTTGGAGTTAGTTTCCTTCCGCCCTGGGGACCCCAGGGGAAACTGAGGCCTCCTGGGAAGGAGAAGGAGGGGAAGTTTCCTGAGGAGACACCCCTAGTAGTTCACTGAAAGATAAAAGCTACACAGGGCTTCACCTTTTTTACAACTCAGATTTCAAATCACTTCACAAACTGAAACATGTACCCAGGAGACAATTTGTTGACACTCTTCCCAAGACTGTGAGGCCAAAGAACAGGCTTAAGTCCAACAAATGGGAAGATTCCATCCATGGAGGAGCCAGGATTCGAGTCCCCACAAAGGCCATAGTCCCTGCTCCAGTCCCAGTCACTCACAGCATCTTCATTCTTTGCCTTTAGAATGAAAGGGCAAGTTTCAGAGTCTCTGAAAGTATTATTTGCCCTTCAAAATACAGGTTAAGAGATGATGTGAATTGTTGTATTACTGAAGTCAGCAATTTATAATCAAGGTAATTTAGTTCCCTATGTTAACTCATCAGGAGGAAAAATTGAGACAATTTACCATCAAATTTAAATCACTTTATAATGAATGGAAACACTCCAATTTGTAAAATAAGTGCAATGAGTGAAAACTGAGTAATTTAGATATTTGCCAATATCGCAGATCCTTTTTAATGAAAGCACATCTTTAAAAAAAAAAAAACTTCCCTACCTTTCAATGAAAATTAGTAGCTTGAAAACTCTTCTCAAGGATGCAGTCCTTGGGCAATTCTGTGTGTTCTGCATCACACATGTGCTCTGTGCTCCTCTGGATAACCTGGACATGAATAAAATATTATTTTGTTTATTTTTTAATTAAAAGAGCTAAAAATAAATTTGCTGGCAAAACAAGGTAAAGGTGATACCCAGACTTTATCTCATGCTAAGCAAGGAGAAGCCATAAAAAATTAAAGAATGAAAATTTGGGGAAGGAGAAATATGAAATGCTATCAGTCCCCACGCGTGAAGACAGGCAGGTGACACTTCACTGCTTGGTGGCGTGCCTGGGACGAAGCCCCCCCAAGACGGAGTTTCCTTCTGGGACACCTGGCAGGCACCCGTGGGACTAGTTCCTTTGCCGGGTACAAAGAAATTAATTTGCAATGTGACTGCAGCTTATGCCTGTAAAGAAAAATCATTATTTTAAATCACTATTTTCTTAGCCTCTAAAAGAGAAGCTCTAGAAAAATCTGAAAGTTTCCTAATGATGCAGGACTCATCTATTCTGGGCCTACCTGGTACACAGTCTCCAGACTGCCTTTGAGTTTTGTCTCCATCCCCCGTGTCAGGCTGTCAGCCGTCACTTCTGTTGTCACGGTGCCATCCTCTTAAAGTCCTCTTGGATTCCTTCCAGCGGGATGCTTGCAGCAGACCACGAGCAAGGAAACCGAGATCATTATGAATCGAATGTGGAAGCAGGGCCACGGCCACGCACTTGGCCCCCCTGCCGGCCTCTGGCACGACGGCGGCTTCAGAAGTCGCTTTCCTTTCTAAGAAGCAGTGCGGGGCGAGCTGTGCAGCCTTGAACTCAACTCTCACACTCGCTGGCTGGGCGACCTTGAACACAGCTCTCTCGCTCTCTCGGGCCTCTGCTTCTTCATCTGTAAAATGGGGGAGAGAATGGCACCAACCCCACAGACAGAATCACAACACGCGGCGGGGGCTCAGGCTACCGCGTGGTGTCCAGGCGCACGCGCACGTGCCTTGCTGTTAGACAGCAGGGCTGGGATGGGGATGGAGACTGGGGTGGGGGATGGGCAGAGGCAGGGAAGGGAAGGAGTTTAAGCTTTTGAAAAACAGCTCTCCGGATGAACAGAGCTTTTGACGTTTTTTGACATTTTTTAAAAAATTTTACTCAATTGAAATTTTTAACGGCTTTCAAATGTGTTGCAAACACAACAGTAAACCCAAAGCCTCTCCTTGGTCTCAGCTCATCACCTCCCTCCTTCAACAACTACCTATGGAATTCTGCCCTGTGCCAACCCCACCTCATGGCGTTTAAGGTCCGGGAGAGCCGAGTTCATTGCAAGAGTTGTTGTGGGGTGGGAGGGGAGAGGTGGTGTGCAGCGCAGGAAGAGACCCCAGGAAGAGGCCCAGCGCTGCACAAAATTCCGGAAGCAGAAATGAGCATGGCCAGAATCCTTGGAGGAGGAAGGGCAGAGTGTGATGGTGAGGATGGAGGAGTGGCCAGCAGCCAGGACCATGCAGGGTACCAAAAGACCATTAGCCTTTCATTCTCATCATCTTTGGAAACTATGAAAAATTAAAATAGATATACTTGATATTTTGCCCAGTTTTATTCATTCTCTTACGAATTTGGGAAAACTAGAGACGTTTGCTTTACCAAGTTCAAGGCAGGGAAGTTTTCAAGGGGACAATACGGAATCCAAAGCCGCTGTGTAACAGACTTCCCTGAACACCTACAGATCTGATGGGGAGGGATCATTTTCCTAAGCTCATTTTTCTACCTTAAAGGATAACAGTTCTGTAGCCCAGCCAGACTGCATCCATGGTTCACAGAACTCTTTAAGCCCATCTATATTGGGGGGAGACATTGAAATCTTTCCAAAAACGTGAGTGTATAAATTACAGCTGCAGAAGACGTGCCTCTCCTGATAACATCTTGTGTGAGAGACTCCGTCTACCCCCTCCCCCCCGACTTGGGGTGCCTCTTCGCAGGGCTGGGGGGGTGTTCGTTCTCAAACACCTTCTTCCTTTCCTCTTATTTTTCTTTCAGGTATCCTGTCATTTGACTTTTATTTTTTGAAGTATAGTCAGTTTATAATGTTGTGTCAATTTCTGGTGCACAGTATTTGATTTTAATTGCACCCATGCACTTGTCCGCTTACTCAGAATAGTTGAACAAGAAAAGAATTGCCCTGACTATACTTCGATTTTAAAAAAAAGAAAAAAAGAAGAAAAGAATTGCCTTCTGCTGCAGCCCCCAAACCACATTCTCTGGGAATAAATGCTGCTGCGTCTGCCTGCAGACCAGGTCCCAGCTAGGACATCCACGCTGTCTCTCAAAAACCTCTCAATCTTTGAAAGGCACAAATTTCACCTTTTTGTTTCTTTTCTGGATGAGTGTTTTTCTTTTGCAAAGTAAGAAAGGATAAATCCAAGAAATCTCCACAATACTCCTCATGGAAAAAAACAACAACAAAAAAACACAACGGGAAATTGATCCCGGGGTTTAGCAGCCCTCCTGAGCACCTGCCTCCGGCCTCCCACCAGAGTCCCCGTGAAGCCGTGGAGCGGGCTGTCCTCTCAGCACACGCCAACTCTCCTCAACTTAAAGTGAAGCAAAATAAAGTGATTTAAAGATGTCCTACTTTCCAAGATCCACAGACTGTCTGCAGAACATTAAGGGAAATTGGCTATCAGCCCAAAGTGTTTTTCCAAACCACCTCTTAAATATTTTCTGGCCGGAACAATGTATAAAGCCCACACTGTCATCTCGGAGGAGGGAAGACGGATGGTCTCCTGTTGCTCAGAGCCTCTGTTTGGCCCCAAAGCCCCCAGGTACTGTTAAGTTTCATTGTGATCCGATACCCATCTGCCAGACTGGAGCCTTGGGGTGCTTTCAATGCCAAATTTATACAGGCTGATATCTGCATGCAAATATGTAGCTAGAAATGAATGCTATAATTAGCATCCATAGAATTCACGGTCCTCTGTTCCTTAGGCCCCCTGCACAATTTGGGGAAACGCACAGGTTATGGGGGTTTCTCATTTGCACCGCAGCCTTGTTCTAAGTACAGTTACAGCCAAACTTGATCCTAAATGTGAAGACATAGGCATTTAGGGATTTCGTGTTTATTTAGGGAAATTTCGTTCCGTCTGAGAGTCTGGAAGTTCAGACATATAAATAAGTAGTAACACAAGGAGTATTCTGCTCCGAAAAGTTCTTGAGACAATAAGTGAACATAATCAAAGGCCATCGTTCCCCCTCACCTGTGCCAGGGCTTAAATCTGGGTCGTAGTCCAGTAATTAGGTGAAACAATTAAAACCTGAATGTTTTTGTGAAGGAACCCAGCAAGAATTAATTCAAACTTAATTGAAGTGAGGCAGCCGCTCTCTTGGATGAGTTGACTGGAGACAAATGGGGGCTTTGCTGTGCCGGAGAAATGGGAAGGGGCCCGGGCACCTCCAGAGAGACCCCCTCAGCCCACCCCGGTTTCCAGGGGAGGTGGTCCTTTCTGGCATGAATGAGTGAAGGAACAAACATGAATAAGGCAAACCTTAAATGGACCGACTCCCTCCGTGCTTCTGGGTTGGAGATGCTAAGTGGGTTCAATGCTTGTGCGCACAGGCACCAGATCTGAGCAAATTCTCACACACACACAAGGCCGGGTGGCTCTCCGTGACGGTGGAGTAGCCGGGGGGCGTAGCTGGGTGGCGGCGGAGGGCAGGCGTTTCAGGTCGGGGCCGGACACCGCCCGCAGCCGGGGCCACAGGACCAGAGCCCCATGCCGACTTCATAAAATGACCCTCTCGCTCGCTGTCTTCCTTTTCCAAGCTCCTCCTCCGACATGACCTCGTGTCCTGTCCAAACCTGGGGGTTTATCAGCGCCTCCTTTCTGTCGGCTGATAAGAGGGCCGAACAGATGGCACTCAAGGCACCGTGTTATGGAGAAGCAAGGGAAACCTCATGAAGATCAAGTCAGAATACAAAATAGTATCTTCGTACGAGGCTGTTTTCGAAAGTCTGTTTGGGGGTCTCTCCTCTGGGCCTAGCTCCTCGCTTTTCACTCCAGCTCAGCCACGTCTCTGCTAAGCACAGGCCATGTGCCTCCCTGGCAGGGTCTGTCTGGGAGAGCGGCCTTGCAGTCGGAAGGAAAAGAGGGCAAAGGTGGACTATGGGTAAAGACACCGTCCAAAACTGCTAGGAAACCCCAACACTTCTAAAGCCTCCTTAAAGAACCCCTTAAGGACTGACTATTCATGTCCCCCCAAAATCCAAATGTTGACGCCCTAATCCCCAGCAGGATGGTGTCAGGAGGCGGGGCCTCTGGGAGTGGTTGGGTCATGAGGGTGGAGCCCCGTGAATGGGTTTGGTGTCCTCGTAGGCAGAGACAGGAGAACGTCTCTCTGCCACCACCCCGAGAGAGCACAGCGGGAAGACGGCCATCTGGGAGCCAGGAAGAGGGTCCTCGCTGGACACTAGACCTGCCGCCCCTCAGTCTTGGATGCCCCCGCCTCCAGAACTACGAGAAACAAATGCTGCACTTTAAGCCTCCTGGTGTCTGGTAATTTGCTGTAGCAGAGACTCGGAGCTAAGACAGTGCCTGTCCCAGCACCGGGGAACAGACAAACCAAGGCCTCCTCCCTACTCGGGCTCCAGTGCATGTGTTTTCAGCACTGGTGCCTCCCGTAAGCAATTGGAAAACCCAGGAAGCAGCCCCCTTTTAGACATAGGGGAGAAGGCAGAGCTGTGCTGGACAGAAATAAATGACTTTCCAAGGTTAAGCGGTCAGTGGTGACGCCGGACGGTCCCTGGCCCCCGAATTCCACTCCAATGCTCCTTAGTCACCGGGCCACGCTCCTTGTCAAGTGTGTGGCTGGGTTTCATCTCTGTGCTCTTGACAATGAAGGCCGTGGCATCTATTAATCTCCACGGCAGTTCTCATGAACTAGCTAAGCATGAAGGGTGACAGCCGAGCCCTGGGGGGCCTGACGACTGGAGGTCCCGGGCCGTTGTGATTCTGGGATCTTGGGACTGAGGAATAACTTCCACTCTTTTGCTGCACCCCCCCACCCCCGTCACAGGAGGCAGGGCCAGTGGCAAGGACTAGTCGTGAACTGTCAAGGGCTAGGGGGTAGGTTCTGTCAATGGTGCTGGGCAGACGGGGGCCGGGGCACAGTCTGGGAGTGAGAGGCGCTTGGTGGCTGGAACCTGACCTCGTCACTGTGAGGACGCCCAGGGCTGGCTCTGCCAAATTGAAGATGGCTCATCCACCGACTGATGAGCTCTTCCTCATCCCATCTGTTGAACCCAAAGGAAGCCACAGTTATTTTCATTCTGAAGTCACACAGAATGACACATCCCTGTCTTTCCCTACATCTCCGTCTACGTGCCACTCCGGTGACACGCATTAATCAGGCTCCATCCGGCACGCCCTCTGGTGCACACTTTCCAAGGGGGACACCTCCGACCCAGCCCGGCCTGCCCCGGCCTGCTGAGCCTTCCACGGATGCCCGCGGACTTTCCACCAAGTGCACCGAGCTGGTGAACAGGCGAGGGGGTGGCGCACCTTTGAAAGTGAAATTTACGAGTCCAGCCTGGGGATTTCTTCCTGCCTCTCCGTCCCCTCCCCTACTTAAGTGATAAGAAACAACTGGAACAAGACCCTGGGGTGTCGTGCTGTCAAAAAAATTCTTAATGAAATTAAAGCCCTCACCTCTAACGAATGCTATTTCTGGCCGCGGCGCCCGCTGCTGCAGATGCACGCCTCTCTCTGCCGGCTGTCGGCCTGTGGCTCCACGTCAGAGCTGCTGCTGCATGTCAGCGAGGAGCCCCAGGGGATGCGGGCGGAATATTTTATACCTGAAGTGGCCTTATTCTCAGGCAATGGCACACCCGGAGATGCGACTCCACTGTGTGCATGAGGAGAGATGCCGCTCAGAAACAAGGCAGAGAGAGGGTGGCGGTCGAGCCGGCGGGGAAATGCCCTGGAAAAATAAAAGCATGCCCAGTCATCGACAGCCCTGACTCTGAAATTTCGGAGCTGCCTCCCCGCAAACGGAAATCTGCTTCTTTCCCTTAAACAGCCCTTTGTCAGTCTGACGCGAGGAGGCCTTGTTCCCAGAGCAGTCCTTCCGAAAACCCTCTTTTCAGGTGGGGGTGGAAGGTTGCAGAACCTCCAGCGTGCCTTCCAAGTTTTCAGTTGTCTCTCAACACCCCAGCCCTGTTTTTTTTCAATTGAAGTATAGTCAGTTACAACGTGTCAGTTTCTGGTGCACAGCGCCATGTCCCAGTCATGCATACACAGACATGTATTCATTTTCATATTGTTTTCCATTAAAGGTTGTTACAAGATATTGCATATAGCTCCCTGTGCTACACAGAAGACATTTGTTTTTTTTCAAATCTATTCTTATATATAGTGACTAACATTTGCGAATCTCAAAGGCTGGCTGAGTGGTCTAAGAATCTAGACTCAAGTTTCCACACCTATTTTTTTAAATGTTTTTATTAAAGTATAATCAGTTTACAGTGTTGTGTCGATTTCTGGCGTACAGCATCATGCTTCAGTCATACATGAACATACATATATCATTTTCATTTTCTTTTTCACCACAAGTTACTACAAGATATTGAGTATAGTTCCCTGTGCTGTACAGTATGAACTTGTTTATTTTATATATAGTAGTTAGTATCTGCAAATCTCAAACTTCCAATTTAAGTCTTCCCCCCTCTTCCCCCCTGGTAACCATAAGTTTGTTTTCTATGTCTGTGAGTCTGTTTCTGTTTTGCAAATAAGTTCGTTTGTCTTTTTTTTTTTAGATTCCACATATAAGTGATATCATATGGTATTTTTCTTTCTCGAGTTTCCACCTCAATTTTTTTAAAAAAAGAAAAAAGCACATTTAAAATAAAAATTGATGACATAATGCTTTCTCTAAATTCTTAGACATTTATGTCTAAACTCTAAAGTTTTTGTGTGGGAGTTTGCTTGTTCATTTTGATAAGAATTTTCTCTACACCAAAAAGAAACATTTCTTTTAGGAATAAATTCCACCACAAAATATAAACGTTCTCCATATGCAAGGGCTACCAAATTCCTTACCTCAGCCCTGGAACACAAATGCCAAGTCTGGTTCATTTAAGATGAGATCTCTTAGAGTGGAACTTACTGCCGGGTTTATCTGTTCCCTCTTCCTTCTCATGTCCCCAAATAGTATTTAAATGCTTATGCGGAGACGCACGGGTGGCGTTTAGAACCCTTCCTTTCATTTTCTGCTTTAATGTTTTTGTTAAATGTCACATTGGTGAGAGCATTCGGTGCCGGAGCTGGAGAACGCTCAGAAGTGTCTTATTAATTCTTCATAACGCAGTGACAGGCAATGCTTAACAAACAAAGCCCGGACAAGCAAGCCGTGGTGAGTCACCGGGGGGCTGCACGTGGCCCATGCCTGCCACGGCCTGGGGAAGCACACTTCTGAACAGGAAAGTCATTTTTAACCCTCTTTTCTTTATTCGGTGTTCAACTGAGTCACCCTGCTGGTACTTTACACTTGGTTTTAATTGAACACGTACTATTAAATCCAAACTAAGATTCCGGGTCTCTCAATTACCTGCAATTTTTGTCTTTAAAAGAGAAAAAAAAAAAGGGCCAGGGAGTCGCCACTGCCCGCATTTACTGGGAACCATCTGTTACGCCTCTAATTAAAACCCACTTGTAATGAGCTTGTTAGTGCACAAAACATGTCAGGTGCAGGATATTATTCATGAAGCCGTTGTTTTGGTGGCTGAACGATGCCTTAAAATCCTATTAGTTTAACAAAGTAATGTATCAGTATTTGACCCAGTATACAAGAGACTTCAGAATGACCTGGCATCCGGCTCTAAGATTTTTTTTCCTCAAATATGTTGCTATTTCTACCTAATATATAGTCAGATGGCCTCTGATAATTGCAGTATCAAATCTTTGCCTCAATTTCCAACTGCAGGTGATTTCAAATGATTAAAGATGCACACCAGGGAATAAACAAAAATGCTTACATGCAATTATTTTTAATTAGTATTTGGCTATAAAGTGTATGCCTTCATAAAAAAGTCTGTTATTCACATAAACATCTGTTACCATACACACAAGGAAACACTGTAAGTCTGTCATCACACCACCAAAACAGAAACACGGAGGGAGGCTGGGCAGGAAAGCCTGCACTCTGAGTTTTTAAACAAAAGATGTAAGTCTAACAGCCAAAACAGACGCGGAGACACACCCTTCAATTAACATCACTCACAATCAAAGGAAGAGCCCTTACCAATGGAATTACACTTGAAAATGTTAAAATAGATGGAATTATTCTTTGCAAACAATAGAATCTCTGCGCACAAGACAATTTCAAATTCTTTTACTAATTTTGCCCCCATGCACATAATCAGACAGTTTCCTGTTTGCATGCTCTCAACCGGCTGCTAATTTTCCAGTTTCTCTGCACTCTGATTTTTGTTCATTAACACGTCCAAACTTTGGGAGATGCAGCAGCTTGAATCCCAAGCGATGAATATTAGCCTTGTTTCATGAAAGTCTCCAGCAAGGGGAAAAAAAAAAAAAATATATATATATATATATATTTTAAGTGAGCATGCCCCCACCAAGCACGGGGAGGGAGACACGGGGAAGTAAATTAACCTGGCTGTAACTGATGGGTGGAGATGGGGCTGCTCTGTGGAGCACTGAGAGGAAAACGAAGGGAGGTGTGAGAACACGCTGCCCGCGAGTCACTGGATCTGCGGGAATTACGGGGCTCCCTCGGAAGCTCTTGGAAGCGCACAGCTCCAGGACCACCCCAGCAGCCCGAGTTAACACACTCTGCGCAGCCCAAAAGCTGCAGCTTTTATTAAAGGCACAGTTCACCTGCCAAAAGAACTTATCTTCATTTGCATAAAAATGCAGACAATAGTTTGATTGGATCACACAAACCTGCGTTAATACCGTTGCCGCACTCTGACGTCGGTGCGCAAATTAGGCAGGAATCGTGACCCCTGGTGGTGGGTCTGGCTGCGGCCCCTTTGGGACCCACCGGCGGTAGTTACGGTGACGCTCCCTGCACCAGGCTCCTGCTTGGCCTTACCAGGTGGCGTTCCCTGCCTCGCTTGGGCACTGCACCCTGGGGGATGCTGTGTTCGAGATTCTGATGAGTAAGCAAGCAGACAGAAGGACCTCGAAGGACCTCCGCATCTTGCCCTCAGCAATTCTAATTGTCCAAACTCAACTCTGCCTCCACGGACAGAGCTGGAGGACCTAAGAGTGAGGACAGATGCCCAAGGTGGTGGCGCGCCTCCACGCTGCCCACCCCTCCAGCCAGCTAGCCTCCTTCACCCACACGCGGGAGCCAAGCCCAGGACTAGAATCATTTGGGAGGCTGGTATTAATCTGCGGCCACGATGCCTTTAAAACCTGGCCGCCCGGCAGCCAAAGACCCTGCTCACTCAAGGGCAAGCTACACAATCATTAGCAGCCCCGTGTAATTTAAAAATATAACCAAGAACAATTGAAAGGAAGAAATATACTGTGGGACTCAATCTATTGATCAAGAGCCCCCCAAAGACAGGCCGTAAATAAAATGGCACAATGACCAGAAAAGGCAGGTTTTACATTAAGAAGCAGCAAATTCATTGCCGGGGTGAGCCGGGGAGCCAGGCCAGAGGGCTCACAGCATCCTGGCAGGCAGGCCGGTGAAAGATGGCCCCATTCCTCACAGGGAGACGTGCTGGGGGAGGGCCTGGCTGCCCTTTGCTAAGCACCCGTTTCTCATGCGGGGAATCCTCATTTTTCAATCACACCCACCCTCGGGCTTCCCCGCCTTCCCCACCACGTCAGTCCCTCAGCCCCATCTCTCCAGGTGAGAGACATTTAACCACATCCTGTCCTGACCCTGGGCCTCCCTTCTGGTCTGTGGCTGACAGTGCAAGGAAGGCGGTCCTCCAATTTCTAGGGATGCTCAAAGGAGCACCTGGTGCCTCCCGGCCCCAGCGGAGGGCAGGTGGCCCAGCAGGTGGAGGACAGCGCGCCAGCTTGCCTCCCCGGTCAGCCGTGTGACATGGGACCTCGCCGCCTCCCGCCCTCTCAGAGCTGGAATCCAGACACCTTTCTAGCTGAGGGGCTAAAGCTGGACCCACATTTTGAAAAGCACAGGTTTCTATTTCTAAGTAGCATGAGTTGTAAATGAAGCAACAAAGAAGATAAACACTCAAGGTTAATGTGATGTAACCCCACGATGTCATGGGTCCACCAGCAGAGCTCCCGTTACTGGTCTGGAAAGCTCCTGGTAACTTTCCCAGCAGGGCTGGGAGTAGAGGGAGAGAGTGAGACACTTCACCTCGGGCACAGGTTTTGAGGTGGTGCCCCCAAACTCCACAATCAGTAGATAATATTTCAATATTTTTAAAAATAAAAATTAATGCAAATGAAGCAACAATAGCACTGTGTCAAACCATACTAGAGACCGAGGCACGAGAAAACAGCAGGGACACTGTCCCCGTCCCCACGTAAAATGCTGACATTCAATTCACTGTGGATTTTTTGCATTCATTTCGATTTCTTCAGTATTGCACTTAAGCACTACGAGTTTCGGTGGCCGGGTTTTCAGGAGCCCAAAGCGAGCACTTCGCTCACCTCACCCTGAGCCCTGCCTCCCCCTCTGGAGGAGGTGAGGGCAATTCAGTGTGCAAGCTGCGCCCTCATTCCCGAGACCGGGGGCTGGACTCACGTCTCGGTAGCTGCGTTGTGTTGGCTCCTGTGCAGGCACCTGATGCTTTTGAAGACCGTACAAAGTTTCACTAGGGACGCAGCGTGGCCAGCGAGCGCCGCGGCTTTACAGGGTTTATGGAGAGCAGAATGTGTCCTCGGCGCCCAGGACGCTGGAGCCGTCGGGCGCAGTGACATGTCTTCCGTGCTGGGTGCTTCCTCATGTTTGTACTTAACTGTGTTAATGTCTTA